GGCGTTTCGTTTAGGGCGCATCCTCACAAATATTTTTTTAGATTAATCTGCATGCAGATTTCATCATCAGGTAAATCCTGATAATACTTATTTATTATAAATGCGAAAATTTGTGAGGATTTATGTGGAAGTAATTATTGCTGTAAAAATGGCTGAAATAACTTGTTAACGGAAACGTGGGCGAGGCCGTTGGCAGAAGCTAGTATTAAATATATCTGTCGCGGAGAACCTAACGGGTAACTGGGGCCTCGGCTTGACGTGCAGGAGAAGGAACGGGGTGGTTTTTAGTCAGTAAGAGTCTGACACTCCCTCTCGCCTCACCCAGGTGGGAGGAGTCATTCGATGATTTTCCCCCCTTAAAAAAAAGTATAAAATATATCTAATTAAGGTTCTTTAAAAGACTTACAAAAGCTTTACAATTTACATTCCCAATTTGTCGCGGGACACAGGCATAGTAAATAAGTACGCTTCGCTTTCTTTCATTTTCCAATCTCGGATCGACGTGGAATTTCATTATCTTCATTTTTCAAATAGCCCATTGCGAGAGGGTAATATTAGGTACTGAGCTCAAGGGAACCATTATTGTGGCAATTGCCTTTTTTCGAATACCTACTTGAAATGGAGGCTTTTAGTCTTTGGTTTTGAATAGCAACAGTTATTAGAATTACATTTTGGATTGGTTGTAATTGTAAGAATAACTGAATAGCTACCTGAGTGAAATAAATGCGGTTGGGTCCGTGATACATGGAGTCCCAACTTGGAATGATGGCCTAGTAATTTTATTTATTTTGGTCCTTGATGTAGGTAGCAATTGATGACGGTCGGCGCGGCGCGGCGCGGTGCGGCGCGGCTGTTTGTGACCGTTCGCCGCTCGCACGCTGTAACGCCGCGCTATAAATATTAGATGCGGCTCTGCCTCCTTACGCCGCGCCGCCTGTGCGAGCCGGAACCCTGAGAATCGATAGTCCACAACACGTATGTGTCACTATCTTGTCCCATACATTCTAATAGTACGAAATAATGTTCTCGTTCTGAGGTATTCGTATCCCCGAGAGTGTATTAGGGTCTGAGCGCACAGTTTACGTGTCAATAATAAACAAAATGAAATACCTTCATTCCCCCTGTGCTCCATATCGTATGGTATTTCAGTATTAAAGAGGCTTCGCAATGGATTGTTAGTTGTTTGATCGATAAACTCAGTTATTACTGGCCACAGTTGTGCGGTGGCGTAGCGAAGGGAACAATTATGTGATTAGGTTTTTGTTCGTATTCAAGTATTGAAGGAATCTTTTTCGGGCAACTAGGGTAGAACCTATACATATTTACTGATCATAGCGAACGCGATTTTTAATTAAATTCATTTATCATAATAAAATTCAATGGGCAGTTGGAATCGGAAATAGAATTTATCTTCAACAAAGTATTGCTTCAGTCATCTTTACTTAGTTACCAATTACCTAATGAAGCCTTCACTTCACTAAACTAAACTGTGGTTAATTTGAGACTTTTCTAGTGCTTAACTTAAGAAATTAGGTATATCAATAAAGCTCGCTTTAATCAGGGCGTGTGTGAAAGGTCATTTGAATAATAGATTACTTTTGTAGATGGCAAGCGACTCGACCCGATACCGTTATGTCACCGACCTTGTGATTTGCTTTCAGTTTCCGTTTAAGCCGTATGTCATTTACTTATAACTAAACTTGTAGGACGGGTAGTCCCAAAGCTCCTCTAAGACGGTAACTTACGCACAACGTTTGTATAGAAATGTAAATGATTCTTGACAAAGTTTCCTTCTCAACGTTATCTTAACGGTAGTACCTCGGTCCCCTTTTTGTATAAGTTTGTACCATTCGAGAGAACACTGCCAAGTTTCCACCTTCCTTATTACGCCTAACAACCAGTCAGAGGTCAAACGAACAGAGATTTGACCTAAAATAATTTTTTAGGGAAGTTATTATTGATACCTGCGTTGTCGAAATCAGTTGAAATCTAGGTCATGCGTTATAAAGCCCGGAACAAAGGTAGCGCACATTGTTATCCACATCAATGATTTTTTCGTAAAAGGTTTCAGTAAAGGATTATAGCATTTTATTATGGTAGTTTCGGGGTTATTGAAATTAAACAGCCCATCATACTGTAACGTACATAGCGACGCTATGCCCCGAGCGAGGCAGCCCCGAGGGAATAAATAATGGAGCTAAGAATACACCCACAGGTCGGCTATGGTAATTGAAGGTTGTATACTTAGTTATTGTACATTAAGTTATTTCGTTCGAGTGTTCATTTCTCGGGTAAATTGTCGTTGATGTTGCCTACATTGACATGTGCAGTAGATACAAACATGTTAATTTAACCCACCGACTTACACAAACACAAAATATAACGCCTTTTAACTCGTCGAGTACCGGTTTTGTAGACACAATTATAGAACAATAGGTTGCGGTCACCGGTGACCGCTTGGTGTTTGACAGTTTAAACCCTTTTATATTTTGTGTCTGTGTGTTTATAATCCAGGTGGTAAATATAACTAAAAGATTTTAAAAGGACAAGGTTATTTTAAATAAACTTTGTAAATTAGATGTACAAAAAGTTTTAATTGGATGGAACCCAACAAAGTTACGTACCTCCAGCTTTATAAAGATAACAATGGCAGTTGTCTAAACACAACATTCGTTGTTTTTTTAATAAAGAAATAACAGGGTCTCACATGTTACCATAAAATTATAATATTTGTGAATGTTCCTACTTACTTAATTGTAAATATCCATTCCGGCCGGGGACGCGGCTCGCGCGGGCCACGTTTCTGCTGAATTATCCTAAACAAAGACCGTTACTGCTCTGAAATTAACAATTATAAAGCTGAATTGCTTTATTTAGGCATCTTAACGAGATTGTTAGGGAACACAAAAGGCACCTCACTTTCATTCGAGCGACAAAAATGCGCTTCATTTCGTCTTTTCTCGGAGTAATTTGAAGTGTAAACAATTAGTTGGAAAGACCCTGATGTTTTCTCCATAATGAGATTAGTTTCCGCCTGTAGGCAGGAAATCAATTTGCTGGCATCCAGCCATGGTGGTACGTTCCTCGGCTCAGCTCACTACTCTCAACAAGTGCATTAAGCTTGTATTTCGCAGATCAGATTGAATTCGTATCTGCATTAGAGGTAAAATAAATCTTAATAGCCGTACTGTGTGATAATGATAATACCTAAATAGACATGAAAGGCATATAAATTTTCATGAACGGTGGTAAACAAAAATATATTTACTACTGTTCATGAATATACACGCGTATATTTACGTATGTATATAAAATAGGTAGGCAGGTACTAAAATACTAAGCGGTGCGACCTAGCTTTTAGCTCTACCTAATTGTACATACTTAATCTTAAAATCCAATCTAAATTTCATGTCATGCAATGAAAAAGCAAGATTATGAGATCGTTTATAAAAATAAGATAGTGTTTATATTTGAGTGAAATTCTTAAGTGCCATTAGATACTGTGGCTTCGTGGAGGAGTTAAATTTAATTAAACCTCTCACTTATCTACGGAGTTCGTTCTCTAGAGACATAAAATTTAAAGTTTTCTGTTTGAAATGAGCTGCTCGATAGTAATTCAGCAAACGCAATTCATTGAGTATAAATTTAATCTTATCGGATCAATTTAAACTTTGAACAATCAGATAGGTAGGCATACCAAAATGTTTTCATAACTTTTATAGATTCATTGACTTTGTGTATGTTCAACTAAATTATTGATTAAATCATGGATATAATTTTAATATTTCTGTGAATTAAATATTTAAGTATTGAACTCAATATGCAGTGAGTCTTCTTTTATATTCAAGCCTTTCAAGCTTGTGATCAGAAGCTTGGAACTAATTCCTACTGACTAACAGACTATTAAGATTAATCTGTTTAACCTAGTTTGTAAACTGAGTCACTGCATCGATGTCGTATAGTAATATCAGATTCTAGGGTTAATGTCATTAATACGGAACGCTGCGCCTTTCTCTAATTTTTCTCATCACATGAAAAGCACAAACTTTGTAGCTGTATATGTTTTTTATATTACGTACATTTATTGAATTTCCTTGTAACGTACCCAATATATTCCTTTAATATTAGGGTATTAGCATATCCATGAATTTTATATGTAAGTATTTTTTCTCTGCGGGTCGAAAGAAAGGATTCGACAGTTTTCTTCTTATTTAGAATCGCGTGGGAAATGTAAGAAAACTCGGCGCGCACTGTGGTTTTTCGTAATGTTATCTTTAGTAAATATGGGTGAGGTCGGTCGGTTTATTAAGTGGGTGCGTGCAGGGTTGGGGTTGGACTTGAGACACGCGGTTCCTGGCCCCCGCCCGCCCCAGTCCGCCTCAGCGTGCCGGAACGACGTGAAAGCTCCCGATCACAATATCCGGTACTGATCCGCAATATCACCCTATATGGATTTAGGACATAAAATTCAATGATTATAATATAGCCTTAACGATTTTATCTAATATTACGTAGCGTCGAGATGAAGTCTACCCTGTCTACCAGAAATATCTATAGATACGTCATCTGTATTTGCATTAGGTTGTATTTAGCAGAAGAGGTCTTTCAGCTGTTTATGATGTTAGAGAGAAATTTATCCTACCAAAGCTTTGTAATTAAAATCGATAATGTATTAAACTAATTTTCTGCTCAATTCTTGTTATAGATAGGTACATATTTAATGTCCGAATTTGTTTGAATATACAGTCATATTTTCTTTAGAATCTACTTTAGATTAAATGTTGTATAAATATTATATTTCCGTCAAAAGTTAAGAAGGCCAACATTAATTAAATTAATAAATAATTCATAAGGTTGTGCCGGTGTTTTGAAAAACGAGGCCTCCAATGAAATATTGGACGATAAGGCAAATAGGAGCTACTTAATGATTTTGTTCCTCCTTGTGGAACGGTCATCTGTTTATTATTCATACATAAACCTAAGTTATTATTTGTTTCCAGATAATCATGAGGATCAAAACATCAGATAATGGTAACATCGCCGTACACAACAACCAAGACGTATTGTCACGTAGAAATTCCGACAACAGAAGTTGGTTGTCTGTGAACAACAGCGCACAAACCAATTTACGTGAGAATAGTACGGACTACTCCAAAGTTACGAATTGTAACACAGTGTACAGCTCTCAAAGGAAGTTAGAGACGTTTGAGAATTACTCTACTACTTCGGAAGTTGGTGCAGACAGTGAGGACTTGACTGTAAGCCCGGAACTTGTGTGCAACAAACAGTACCGGATCAACAACAGACACGTGAACAGCGTACAGACGTGCAATAATTCTGCCACGGACAATCTGGAGGGAAGCATAGACACCGTCAGCGCGCCTTGTACAGATTTTAGAAGTGAGTATCGAGTTATATGTGTTTATGCAGTAAGTACCTACATAAGTACATACACAGGGTCTTATAGTGTGCTCCAATATTTCAGATAATACTAATGTATATACAGAGACAACACCAGTTGACGAGGAAAGAGCATTTGAACATTCTGATACAGATGAAATGTCTGAGAACGGCATCCATCCTGTACCGAGGGGAATTGTGAATCCAAATTATCCTGGTTTCCAACACTTAGCGCACACGTTACAGGTAAAGTTTCACTTACAAAAAGAATCCTTGAAAGTGTTTAAACTTTGCTCGTTACTGTGACACAAAAGAAGCCCCAGTTGTGACTGAACACTGCTGGACTGGGAACAGTTTATTGCTTACTTATATTTATGTCGGTTTCTACCGAGTAATATACTTTCCTTTCTAAAGATTTTATGTTAACGTTGTTCCCTCGTAGCCTATATTCACAAGTAGGAATAATTACATTTGTTTTGCAGGATTATTCATCAAATATAGAAAATTTTTATCATTCGGAAAATGAAATGACTGATGACGATGTGGATGTAGAAATAACTGACCTGGCATACGAACCAGAACCTAACCAAAATGAAACTACGGACTACAAAAATATTAATAACAATAATAACATTAAATCTGACTTAATAAATACAACACTACTATCACCGCAAAGTAAATCAGATTCACAGCAAAACATTGTAGATAGTCAAATAAAAAATGATATACCAGACCTTTTAAAGACGATATCTAAGAATAATAATAACAATGATGAGTCATTTAATTATGAATTAAATTGCACAGATGCAGACATAGAGAATAACTTTCACGCTAAAGATATTATTGGTGACTTTAATAAGGAAATCGAAGATGAAATAAAACAATTACTGAACTATAACATAAACATCCAAGATGACTTAGAAGAATTACGCAAAGATATCAAAGATACTTTTGCAAAACCTATTGAAAATACCATTAACAATATTAGTGACGTGGTCAATCACGTAATAAAGAAATTAGTAGAAACGCAGTGTGATGAAAATGATGACAATTTTAAAGATAGTTTTGCGAAACAACAAAAAATTGACGAAATTAGTGAAATAAACAAAGAAAATGAGAAAAACATTCGAACAGAAATGAATTTAAGTAGGCCTACGTTTTTACTAATAGAAAATAACACCAATGATAAGATCACAGATGCTTTCCTATCAGATGGAAAGGATGAAATCAATATTAATGACTATAATACTGAAAAATTGAGCCTTAATGTGGAAAATACTATTAAGCAACTCAGTACTGAGTTGAGAAAGATAATTCCTAAATTAGATGAAATGCGTGAACGTGACAGGTTATGGGCCGAAAGCAAAAAAGAAACTGTTGTCATCGATGGAAATTCAAATGAAGTAGCACATTCTTCGAAAGGGTACAGTTTAATGAGTAAAAGTGTTCACTCGCAAGGTAAACCAGATGTTAGCAAAACTATGAGGCTCACTGATAATCATATAAGTCTCAGAAGCAATTCTATACGATCACCTATGTAAGTATTTACTTTTCAAAGTACCTAGGTGCCAGAGACACATTCAAATTTAATAAAGCACAATAATCAGTCACAACCTAGTTGCGTGTATTAGTCAGTACACAGTATCATCGATGCAAACCTTCCTTTGCAAAATCTTGAGTCATACTATGCTTGGTTTATGTTTAAAATAGATTTGACGCAGCACGTATAACTCTGATAAATTAGGAAGGGAAGCGCACACGATGTGTTGGTGTTATGCATTGTGTCAATTTGATTTAGTTCATACACATTGAAATTTGTAGAATTCTTGTAATTTGTAAATGTGGCGTGGCACAACAATTTATGTTATTTGTTTTAATTGCGTTTGAGTGTAATCTACTAATATGCATTCATACTTTAGTGAACCCAAGGCGTCCAGAGATAAACAAAGAGAAATAACTACAAGCAAAAACTCTTACCGCACTGCTCAAAGTAAAACATCCGTCCGTAAAAATGACAACACAAAAGATGTAGATTTGGGTAAGTCAGCCATTTTACATACATATGTATCCTAGATATAGGTGTCTGTAGTTTATATGAATTAGATAGTAGGTAATATCCATTGGTACCTAGGTAAGAAAATATCTTACAGTATAGGTTCCCAGGTACCTACCTACATAAGTGACATATAACATGGGTGTGCGTATAATTTTATATGCAGTTGATAAATTGTGTTGAACACAATCAATCAATCAACTTAACTTCTCTTAATAATTAATCACACAGGAATCAGGGTAATGACAATTAGGTAACTTAGTATAAGATCACCTACTGACCTTAATGTAGAGATTGTATCTAAATGTTAAGTAAGTAGGTACAAAGTAAGAGCTTAGTGCAAAGTGTAAGTGCTGAGTTATGCTTCGACACCTGTGTACCGGTTCGACCAGAGTGTTACCACGGTTTCATAAAAAGCCGGCGTGAAACAAAGCTTGCGTTAGTTACAGCGCCCTAATTTTCCGTTCTTTTTATCGGTAAAACCCGGATTTAGGATTTTAATTCAATTTAGGTAAAATATAAATAAACGAATGGAGCACTTACTTGCATTTGTATTTAAATAGTAAGTCGAATAAATAATAGGTAAAAGGCTATTTCTAAAAAGACATCTTTATTTTTCAGGAAGTTTTGATGTTTACAACATAGAAACAGCTTTGCCTAAGTTAGATTTGGATGCCATTGAGAATCATTTGAAAGCCGCAAAAGAAGCAGAAAGACGGGTATGTAATTTTATCACTACAAACTGTCCACAGTCCAACTGACTCCAATTATTTAATTAAGGTATCAAAATATAGAATATTAAGTACTTAACCAATTGGAACCTGTGGTACTTAGCCACTTTACTTAATGCACTGTACGATGCGTAAGAAATACTTAAGTGAATCTAATCTTAGCAACACGTTAAGGTAATGATGAGTAGAAATATTGACGTATTTGGTCAGAACCGAAGATAAATCAGAAACAAAATATACCTAAATAAAAGACAATAAAAGAGGTAGGTAGGTATCTACGCACAGTTCATCCTAGTTAGGCAAGATCCAGATCACTTTTCTATATAAACAGGTCCTCAAGTTACCTATCTACTTAATTAGGTACTTACGTAGGTACAATATAGATGTGAACAAGTAAGTACATAAGTACTACATCATTTAAATTCCGCGCTGTTAAGTTAACGGTAACCGCACATTCGCGTTTGATCCACGTCTGCCGCAGCCATGTGTAACAGTTAATTATCAATAGGCAGTAGCTAGCTTTCTAAGGTGATTCAGCGTCGCAGCAAGCTGCCAGACAGCCAGTCTCTTACTAAACACCGATTTATTGAAAGGTGTGCGAGTAGTGCTCCGTCCATGAATATAGTTTGTATTGTTTTATATTAGTGTAAATTCAGTGTTTTAAGTGATGGCGTCGATGCCTTACTTTGTTAATACAGAACAAAGACATTATAAAAAGGATACCAGATTTCTGTTAGATTTATATACAATAACGTATGATAATCACGAATCAGTTGATAACATCTGTTGTCTAGTAAGTATTTTTTATTTTATTTTTTATAAGTAGCAGTAGGACATTGTATGGTATTTCCCAGGAGCCAAGCTAAAAATATTGGAAATAGGTTATGGAACATTTTACGTTTTACGACCTTGTCCTAAATGTCAAACTGACAGGAATGACAGGACTTCCATTTTTTTGTTTACTTTGTTCAATTTACAGTTAACGTTTGTACAAAAGCCATCCGTGCCATATTATTGCCAAATATAAGAAGACTGATTAGTTCTTAATATGTTCGAAAATCTAGTTACTAACATTCGAAGGAAGTTTAGCAAAACTCCTGAAGAAATCCACGACAATACAAATACAGAAGCTGTAGAAAAGTCTGGATTTAAACGAAGTTTACATCTTTTCAAAACGAAGTTGTTTTATAAAAACGACTGTGAAAATGTTCAAGTAGAGAATTGTGACGACACTGTGCTGAGTCCAAGGGCCATAGGTTCAGCAGAGTGTGCTCTGACAGAGATTGAATGGCCCAGTCTTGCTGATAACAATCCCAACATCTTAGAGAAATTTACAAGAATTGTATCTGCTGTTGACAATGTCTCTTACGATAAAAATGTAATAACTGTGATCTTTTTAACATATATCCAAAATATATTATTTATGCTTACTTCTAATGCAAATGTCCTAACATTTAATCATTCGTTTATTTGTTATAAATTGTTATAAATTTCATAAACAACATTCAAATAAAAAAAATTGCCACATGGTTTGGCTAGGTACATATTTTATTATTATAGGTAGGTAGGTTGGTAGGTATTTATTATAGGTATTGTTGATTTCAGAAACGCAATGATAGAGAGGAGATCAGGAGACGGCTGGCTATGGGAGCGGATGCTGAGGAGTACTATAGTATGGGACACACGGACCGACCAGGAAAGAAACCAAGTCTCCATTCACGACTTCAAAGTGGTAAGAGACCATGTTTGTTATCATATACACAGGGCCAGCAAATCAATCTACCTACTCCAATCTATAGATTTTCAACTCAATTGTTTTGATATAAGGTAAAAGATCCAAAGAAAAGGATTTAATAGATTGGAATATGTTTATCGGCAGACTGGCCACCGGCACACACATACTGGGTTTTCATGCAAAATAAGATTAATTAACTGTGTAAATAATGTCACTAGCAATTTATGCGGCACCCAATTAAATTTCTTGATAGTTAATCTTGTTATTTTGTAAAGTTATCCTTGTTTTGAACACTGACTACCTGTGATAAAGTATTGTTATTTAATAATCACATAAACAAAATGGGTTGTATGTAACTAATCAAATTATACATTTTCATTTACTAAACTACAAAAATTTCAAGTCTCTTTGTTATACTTAAATTCATCTTGTAGGTACAATTTGCATTTCAAATAAATTGTGTAGTAGAATAAATGCAAAATAAAAGAGAAATTAAGTTTTAAATATGTAGGCAAATGAAAGTAATCTTTTTTATCTGTAGTAGTAAATGCATATTGTATGTTACATGTTCCAAATTCAAATTTCAAATCATTTGTGATGTTCTCATACTAAATGTGTTGTGATGTCTGGTGCAGGGATGAATCTACAAATATGTTTCATGAATGAAACCGCATCTGACAATGAATCTCAAGCATCAGATTTTGAAAAAAATTATAATAACACAAAGAGTTTGTCTCGATCAAGTTTATTTAGCAAGTCAAGTTACAATCATCCATACCAAACGAGACCTTTGTCAGTTAATATCACAAAACATGACAAAATAAGTACCGTGCAGAGTGGTGAGTACATCCTGTTTATTGTTTCATGCTTGGGTCATTGTGTGTGCACATAATTGATTTAACATTAACACCATTGCGGAATACTTCACCGTACTTAACTTTCCACATTTCGCCTTTTCAATTCTATTGTGATTGTAAAAATGAAAGTTATATTACTTGTTCTAATAGATAGAAATTATCTTTTGTTTAGGTGTACTTTGGAAGTAATTTTGTTTTTACGTTATAACCACACAGACTTGCTTTAAAATCTCATAACTTTTACCAGTACGTTTTTCTTCCATAAGAACATATAGGTATAAATATTGTTTCCAGGAGCAAAGTTACGACCAACATCCCTTTCATTAAAGACAAAGTCCAGGTCATCACACTCTTTGGGCCATATTGAGATAAAGGAGTCTGATTTCTATGTACTGCAAGCTACCTTACAGACTGAGGCCAGGGTCGCACTGGCACAAGCGAAAGAAATGGCTCGCATACAAATGGAGGTATGAAACTAAAACAGAACTACATTAAAATTGCCGAAATAATATAATATTTTTGTAATTTTCTGAGTAACTTATGTTGTTTTATTGCAGCGCGAACGACGCAGTAGGGCAGTGTCGCCCGTGACAGAAATGCTCCGGCGCAGCATGGAGAAGGCCAACGCGCCGCTCGCCCCTGACAGGCGCCGAGTGTCGCGGCAACTACTCACCGATATGAACATAGCTCAGTTGCAGGTTTGTTTTTCATGCAGTTACTAGCTATTCTTCTTTTATCCCCTGTTCGGCTACTATCGATTGTAGTGTGATGTTTTGTGGGCTATCCGTTCAGATGAACAGATTCAATACAAAATGATTATTTTGAATTCGAACCAGGAGTTTTAGAAATTACGCGTATAATTACAAACAATTGTGTAAAAACCATCGAAAAAAGTTAACGTAATTTCTCGATATCGTCTTATTAAGTAGAAAGGTACCTACTTAGTTGTGTAGTAAGTAGTTACTTACATACTTCTTCTCTCTTTCCGTTATATAACCTTTACAATGCAACTTGTTCAACTGCTGACGTAGGAAAACGTTATCTCTATTCAAATTAACTTAAGTGCCTACTTCGAGTACAAAAAATACGTGTAGCAACCTTGAACTGGCTGCCCGCGTTTTTCATAGGTACCTAATGTTACAATTTGCGGGAAATTGTACCTTGCTACCTAATACATAGTTTTCAAAGTTATTCAGGACGAATGAATATGCATTAGTGTTCCCACGCTCTCTGTCACTACTTACGAAACGAAGTTATTTATGGATATCAGCAGCCTCCCACTTGTTTTATTTTCGATATTGGAGCCTTAAGCTTGTGTGAGTCATTTGTCTGTCTTCACGCGACATTCGTTACCATTCTAAAGATTATGATCGCACACATCTAGAATGCTGAACGTAGGTAAACGTGCAATATTATATTAGGTATTTTGATTGCCGTTTTTATGAGACTGCTTGTCGCGGCCTTGAGGATCAAGATCGCTCCAGCGCGTGCTGATTCATGCACACAAACACTAATACAATGGATTTATCCACCACAATGACTATTGTTAAAGATTCTGATAGTTTTTTGTCGTATTCTTTAAGAAGATTTTGTATTCAAATGCATAAAGTAGTACTGTGCTAGTGCTGGTATACCGAGTCCTTCGTATTTACAGTTGAACTGTTCATTTCTTTATTCACGTAATAATCTGGCTGACTTCCAAAAGTATAAGTTAGTTTACATAAAAGTTGGCTGGGAAACGCTAGTACGGGCTCGTAGCTATTATCGAATTAACTGTTAACGCCGAGAAGCGGTTTTTGTTTCGGTTTGTTGACTGCCTTCATAAACTTACATGCTTACTTTAATTAGTTAAACGGATGGTATTAAAGGACCATTAGACTCAGGTTTTAAGAAGTGGGTTAGCAAGTAAAGAGTGCTAAACCACAGGCGGCTAAAACAATTTCTCCATCAATAGAGCGATGTAGACGTCGCGTTGCGTCAGCGTCATTAGTCTGGCTGCCTGCCATGTACTCACTTCAATACAAATAATAAAAAAAAACCTTAATCTTCTATAGAGCTTCGCTGCCATAATATACGTATAATTAAATAGCAAACAGAGGCGAGATTCACTTTCGCATTTAAAATATTAGCATACCGTGTAATAAATGCGTGGGTTGTTGTGTAATTGCCTTTAGTAATTGACATGAAATCATTGAACTCGTCACGTTTTCAACTTTAATTCGTACATCATAAGGTTCAATGTTGTCCTTGATGGGTAGTTTAGCTGCATGTAATTACTTCTGACACCGTTTGCTGTTTTTATGGTTGTAAAGATTAATGCATAAACTTTCCAACCGTGCATTATAATAATAGGTAATGTCTTGGAGATTTTATATCAGAGACGTACGTAGGTGCCTATCTACTGTTATTATAAAAACGTAACATTTTATAGAAGTTTGCAAAGAATATGCAGTTGTTGATGTTGCCTGTTATGTCAGTAGTCTAATTGTAGTTGCGTTCGTCTATAATAGGACTAAATATAGTTTGAGAAGTCTGTTATTATCTATTACCAATAAATATTATATTTAACCTTTGGAAATTGAACTTGAAATACGACTCAACAAAGTTACCCTGCCACTCATTACAAGGAAAATATTACTCTGAAGATAAAATTGCACGCGGTAAAGATGCCAATAAATAATATTAGTAAGTAGTAATAATATTACTGTCGCTGTTGTTATGTATGCTCCCTGTTATCTCCTCCGTGTCCAAACAACATTATCAAGGGTCTGGGACTGGAATAACTTAAGTTCTATATGTTTAAGTTATTTATGTAAGTGAAGTTATGATGATAATCGATGTGACCGCGTCCTTTAAGTAAAAGGATGTGTCAGCCCGTTCCTCAGAAGACGTAGTTTTAACACAAAACAACACAATAAAAGATTATTGATGTAAATACATAATAAATGGTTTTATGTTTACAGGTGATAGTGAATGAGCTGCACTCTCAGATCGAGTCGCTGAATGACACGCTCGTCAAGATGCTGATGGCTCGGGATGAGCTGCACATGGGGCAAGACTCCATGCTCGTCGACATTGAGGACTTGACGCGCTATCTGTAAGTTACGAATTAAATTAGTCCTACATGAAATAAAGTGAACGTCAAATCTCATATTTTAATTGAATGGTTGAAAAGGTCCCATTTTTTACCAGACCTATTATGAGTTTCGTAGGATATTAAAAAAATAATACGTGACTGTGTGTGGCCAAAAACTTAACGGACACAATACAGGGCCAAGTTCACCAAAGATTATTTTTTCTAAGACGACGACGACGAAGTTATTTAAAATGACTTACATAAAAGTAAAACACCTCGCCTGGTCGGAGGATCCTCCTACATCCTACACCTTAGGGAACATCACTACCTGTTCCCTAAAAATGTTTTAATGTATTTTTTCTTTCAATTGCATATTTATTGAGTAGTGTAATTGCATTTTTCTACCGTTCTATTCGAATAAATAAATAGAAATAAATAAATAATAAAATATATACAAAAATTCTCATTGTTCAGATTTGAATTCTATATAATATACATTTTACAATTGAAAAGAAACACATTTTACCAATCTTCCGAATTTCTTATGAAAATGAAACTGTCGCATGTTCTAGTTCCAATAAAAACTTAAAACTAGAACGAGCAATCACAATACAGCATTCAGCCTTTGAAAGTTTTTATTATCTTTATTATAAGGTAATAGTGACGTCATACTTTACTTTGTTGATACTAAGGAGTTACACTAAAAAGGCAAAAAGTCGAGGAAAAAACCCAAGGTTTATAATAATTAAGTTTTTTTTACTGTTTTTGTTTTAATATATTATCATGTTTTGTCTGTTTATTTTGTCTTGGACGTAGATATTCGACTTTCAATTTATGTGATCGAAATGCCGGAGAGTCTGAGATCCCGGGAAATGAGGCTCAAGAACCTTCCGAAGAACTTGCTGTAAAAGATGTTATCTAAGTTATTCACAAACTTTCTTTTAAACGATCAAACATTTCTTATAGTATTAGATTCTCATCTTAGCTCAAACAAAAGTAATTAGATGTTATACTTAATACCTTTGACCTTATTATTTAAATAAGACTAACGCACGAATACTGAAAGGCACAATTTCATGTTGTACTTAAATATCGTGCCATAACATCATACCTTTTATCCCCGAAGGGGTAGCAGAGGTGCACATAATGCCACTATACAGTGTAACACCCACTTTCCACTATTTATGGTATGAGTCCCATGTAATAGGGGGTGAGCCTATTGCTATATACCGGGCATAATTCCAGACTCCGTGCTATTACTGAGAATTTTTAAAAACCCAGTAAACTTTGCCCGACCCTGGAACCTAAATCGAGACCCCTTGCTCGTCAGTCGTACTTGCGACCACTCGGCCAACGAGGCAGTCGTCGATATCGTGCCAACTTTATCATTTTACAAAGAATTTGTAGTGACAGAACTGTACTCAAACTCAATATTGTAATACTTGTAATATTCTACCCATAAGTAGTTATTATCTGATGTTAGATAACTAGTCAAAGTAACTGTACTGTGGGTACGAGGTTTTAGCATGAGATTGTTAACGTGATCGAATCGAGACCGCGTTCGACGCTCTGATTGGTTGGTTCATTTGTATTTTGATTGGTACGAGTTAGTTTTACGTTTAAAGTACCTAATCGAAAAATCGCTCTGATTGGTCGGCTCCAATGAACTAACCAATGAGAACGGTGAACGCGGTCTCGTTTGTATGTAGTGTAATTACAGTTAATATTGATACTGTCGCGATTAAATTAATGCCTTAATTAATTTTCCTCATTTTGTCCAGGGGCGTCAAGGAGCAGACTAAGAAAACCAAAGGCACTACTAAACCGGCTATGAGGAGGCTCACATCTTTAGTGCACAAATAAGTACACAATATCTTAACATTAGGCTTATTATAACTGCGATCTATCTATCTAGTACATACACAGGTGGTCACTTGGACATGTAAGGCAGTGCGAGAGGTAGATATTACACTAGCATTGAATAACTTTCTAATATTATATGCTCGTATGGAATGATTGAGAGGCAACGATTCTATATACATGTGTCTTTGTAAATACACCACATAATTGTCACATATTATGAACGTTTACACTATATTTTAGAACTAAAAACACTATGTATAGAACTGTTGCATTTTCGTTGAACATTCACACACACATAAACCAATTAGTTCAGTTATTTATTGGATTTTAAACTTTATTGTTTTGATGTAAAGTCGAATATCCAATGAAAAATTGACAGATTGGAGTATGTTTACCAGATGGCGACTGTACTACGAAAATTGTTTTAAGAACTAAGTAATAATTTCCATATACCAGTGAATAACGAGTATCCAAATACATATATACTGTGTTTTATCTATCTTCGCACTGTATTCCTATATTAAATCCGATATTGTCGTATAATTTTTTGACAGCATAGCAAATGTTCAAGGTCGCGGCTGGAGCCGAGACGAATTTAGTGTGGCAACTGTAAAGTTACAACATTGTTTGAGATAAAACTGAAGTAGATGTATTAGCAACGGATACACTTGATTGCATTTACTAGTCCACTGGTACAAAATAAATGGAAAAGGTTCGGAACAACTCAATACTTTTTTAAGGAGGCTGTTTTTAAATTCGTGTACCTAGCTGATATAATAAATTCAACTGTATGTCAATATATTTTAATGAGCGGTATTTTTTTAACTCACAATCACAATATACCAGTGATACAACATTCGTATTCAACCTCATTAATATACTTAGGCCTATGACATACGGAAGAACTCTTGCTGCAGATTTCTGAATGTCTATTGAACTTCCGAAAACAGTAGATTCTTCTGACGTTTTTTCAAACCTTGACCATGTCAAGACATTAGATAATATTTCAAGGAAATCGGTTCTTATACATTTATAGAATATAAAAGAACATATTTCTATGTTATATATAATTATGTACGTCAGAACTTGAGGTTAGCTTAGAGTTACATAGCCACATTATCTTCTCCGGAACACCGCCGCGACCCAATTGTTTACCCTGCATGATATTACAACAGATGTTAGCGCATTATATGTATATACTGGTTCTTGTTAGTAAACCCGTCAGTTCCCCTTATTCTAATAAATGTGTATATCAGATTTACTGTATATTCTAAGGATGGTTTTAGTCTGACGCTGATGCACGCGCCCCGTCAGCTCTGATGGCCGAGATATATGAACTTCTAGAAAGCGTCTTTGACTGACGCGTTACTATCTGAGCGCACGGGTCCTAGCAGTTCATATATCTCGGCTGTCAGCGCTGACGGTCAGCGTGCGGTCAGCATGACTCAAAAATCACCCTAATACATGTCCGCTTTAAATAGATACATAAACTTGTTAACCCACCTAAATATTATATATTTTACAATTATTCGCAGATTAGATAAATATTTTTTTCAAAATAGTGCTCATTGTTATTTATCGATAATGAATCTATGCCTTTGGTATGAGGAGGCTACTGTCGCGGGATTATTGTTACGCTTGATTTGTTACTATTATTAATTAGGTATATTCACAAACTAAAAAGTATACATTCAGTTAAGCATAAAACGTATTGAAGAATTTCTAATAAAGTATAATTAAGCAACAATTATATTATAGTCTACAAATTGCTGTAAATTAAAATAATGACATCGTACTTGACTGAATGTATACTCGTTTATCTATAGGCTGTCTTCAAATCGGTCATCACTTCTTGGATGATACCTTACATCCAGCCTGTAGGACTATAACTAAACGATATTTATAATAAAACCTGCATGGTTTGAATTTATCTGTATACGATCTAAAAGTATAAAAAGCAATGCAAATTATTGTAACTGGCAAGTTTTATACGAGCACATTTATGTATGTGTGTGTGTATTACTTCACAATGCAATAAGTAATAAAGTTGTTTATACATAAACCCTGCATGATATCTCGTCGAAGGCATAGATGATTATATTTTGTAAACTAGTATACTCACAATATATACAGGTAGGCATGTAGAGATGCACATGCCGTCGATCATGTCCAGTGATCTTATCGGAGGCTTGTAATGAATGTAGTTTACATACTAAATAACTAACGGAATGCAAATCGGCCGCTACGTGCGATTATCTCGTCAATACACTCATAACTTACTACCTAACAAAATAGACAACCTCTTTCATATTCAATATCAACTCGTTATCAAAAGTAATATATTATGTACTAATTGTATGTCATAGTTGTTTACGATATCATATTCATACACGTTATATATTATATCTAATAAGAATGTAAATAAATGCTGCATTATACGTGTTATTATAAATATCTCACAGTATTATACTTATAATCACATAAGTCCAAATACACATACCATTGTTAGGTAGTACTCTACACGTTTGCATTCCAAAGATCTTCTCTTAAATGGTTATTTGTTGTGTAATTATAACTATCAAATATATACATATATCAGCAAATAGAAGTAAATATTTCTTGCCTTATCAAAATAATTTAATCTCGCTAAGCTCTAAGCAATTCGTCGGTGATACATAAACATTTATTCTATTTACAATAATTTTACAATGTTAATTAGTTATGTACTTACTTGTATCGTTATAACTCTGAGTATATTATGACCATTTGTAACTCTAAACGCATTCCATGCACAACAATTTGGCAGCGCTTGTAAGTTGCGCAATTTTTGCGCAAGTAACCTAACCGTATGATGTGAACTTTTACGGAAGACGAAGTACTTTATGACACCGATACTTACATGATGTTCATAGAATACTTTTCTCTAATAGACGAGGACTAATTCACCATACTTTGCGTCGTTTAACAAAGATTAAGGTACTCAGTTTTATAATGATATCACTTCTAGGTACTGATTGGAATGACACCAATATTATCAGTTTTACTAAGTATTTATAGGCCTCTAAATTAAAACAAAAGTGTATCATTAATGTTAGTTTATTTGTCGTGGTTTAACAGCTGATTGTTTAGGATATTTTTATCATTATTATTATTCATGTATTCTTCGTTTATAGCTTGGGATCTCAAGTATTATTCCTACTATTGTGTACCTATTGATATTAAGTCTCTTTCTTACTTTTCTATATTATGTAGTAAATGTATTGTATGTTATTGGGTATAGTCAGTTTATGAAATGATTTTCATGATAACAAGTGCTGGCGTTATCTGATAGAAAGTTTTGCTGTGCTAGAATTAGTTACCATTATTGTTAGTTCTATTTTCTTATGATTTCTTTCATGTATCTAAGATGTTTTTGTGTGAACGAGGGTTTGGTATGGTCGCTACTATATCATTTAAATATTGCGAGGAGTGTTACAACGCTAAACTTTGACGCAGGATGCATCAGTCATCCACAGATATGTGTAAATGTTTCTCAAAAAGAAATCTTAACATAAACTGTAGCACCATTTGATAGAATGACTGTACCAAGCCCAAGACTTATGTTAACTCTAAGTACCTTCGTCTCTAAATTGTTTACTACAAGCATACTATACGCATTTATTTACCTAAATGTTATTAGGGAGTTACACATGAAGTTAATTATTATAATATCTGAATAATGAAATGTTGGAAATAGGTTTAACTTTACAAATTATAATAATGCTAATGTGCACCTTAGCCGCACTCCACTGTAAGATATAAATGTTCCGTAAGTTATGCAATACTAGTGTACTTACATAATATTATTTGTGTAGATTATATTTTTGTAACGTCCACCATCGTTACCGTAACAAGGTGATATTGTCAGGCTGATATTACCGGTATTCTTTAAACGCCACGAAATATGGTATTTCTTTATTTCTTACTCTAGGTTATACTATATTTTACGATCATTGGGTACAGGTGCACTCGAACTCATTCAAAACATTAATACAATGTATTCATCCTGTTTGCAAATGTTATTCTGATAATCTTCTGAAAACCTGATATTATGACAATTTTATGTCTCATTACAAGTGTGTTAAAAGCTCCATTGACGTTAAAGAACTGTAAAAAATAATTGAATATTCGTCGTTCCATCAATATTATCACTGGATCCATTAATTGGACGATTATAATATGTAAATTATTTATATAAAAACACATAAAATTGAAATTATAAAAACCCTTTGGTATAACTATAAAATTTTGTAAACTGGATGACGATTTAAATTATGAGCTCAATATTGAATACATCAACAATAGTTTCCAACATTTTTATATGGCAACTTTGAAATTCTATATATTTTTGTTACTGATTGTTACTAAGTTACAGGGAGCAACAGTTGCATTAAACAGAGCTTTGAACTGCTAAATGTATGATAAAATAAAATTTATGAAATGTTTACTTATGATTGTCGACAAAATTTCATGATACCTAAAGATTAAGTACTTTTTTGTTGTTCTTTATTCTGTAATGTTTCTACTGATGTCGGTCCGCCATGACGGGCCGACTACCGACGTTCGTGGTGAATGAATGCTTGGCGTGCTTATTGTCAACTCTTACCGACATGTGATAAAATATTATTGAATATTCTAAATAAACGGGAAAGTGTTTACATTGGACTTTCATTTTGACTGTTTTTACTGAAAGGTTACCCTTGCACGAAAATTCATTGAGAGTTATCGATTAGGTAGATTCATAGAGAAAATAATGATAGTTTTCGTATAGTTACACTGTTTTCAACATCTCGCCTTTATTCCAGGACGAGGTGGCAGAGATATTTTTTAATACTTACTTACTACTGGGTATACTTTCCTTAATCAAAAATAAATTATTTCAACTGTACAAACAATGAAACTTAACTTTAGTATTTTTGTCCAGCAAATTTTTAAGTAATAAGTAAGTATGTTGTTTGACGCTAAAAAAGCGTGACGTCATAATACACAATCTCGTACAAAATTCATAGAAAATTGTCGTTTTTGACAGTTCGAAAAAAAGTACTAAATTTGACTAGTTGCCAAGTACCCAATTGTACAAAGGATTTTATCACTTTATATTTATTTCTCTGCTGAAACACAGGCACAATACTCAAACGCAAGTAAATTCTATGTCTTTGTAAAATGACAGACTAGCACGATATTTAACTAAAGGTAAAATTGAGCATCCTTTCAGTATTCGGGTGTTAACTACCTAGGTATTTACCATAGCTCCAATAAAATAACAGGAATATGACGAAAAGTGGATGCTATCTGTCCCTCCCTTCAGAGCATCGGGGTGATATTAATGATAATTATATCGGCAAGGAAAAACGTCTATCCTAAACCATTCCTGAGAAAATAAACACAGGCTTTAACTATCTTCCTATCTGTAAGTTAGTACATAATATTACCTACACACTGCTAAAGAACCTACTTAAATATCAACTACAGTCTACACAATGACAAATAACCAAACAAACTATTAAAACACTTAAAGCATTATCTATTTATCTCTCTGTGGTGTCAATTCCCACAATTCTTTATAATGTTGTATGGTCAAAAGCATGGCTGACCCCAAATTGAAAAAGTCACCTGCACGCCCAGGTGCGTACGCGCAATTAATATCATCCTCTAATAATAGATACACCTCGCAACAATAATTTATTTGTTTTATTGTCTTTATCGCTAGCGAAGAATTCGACACGTTAATCGCATAAACCTTAAATACATTGTTTCTTTCTTTTGTCGCGAAATGTTTCAAAATAATAATTGAACCAATTCTTTATCTAAATTGGAAATATAGAAGGAGATATAGAAGTTTATTTATTTTATGGGGTGTATTAATTGCGTGAATAAACACATTTGCAATCTTATCGTTATTTATTGGACATCCACAGTTTGGGGCAAATTAATTTCCTGTGGGAACTAATGTAGTATCACTAGCATTTTCTTTTTAAGCCAAGTGTAGGAAGAGGGCCGTTTAATTTCGAGATTAATTTATATTTTTAATTATTCGAACATTATTAACTGTGTGTAAATTATGTTTTACATTAAACTTTTGTTTATGTATATCCTTTGCCTCGTTGTATCTCAGTAGACACTTTTTTTTTCACTCCCGCCTCACCCAGGCGGGAGCAGTCATTCGATGATTTTCCCTAATAGGCACTAGGTAGACATTATCGACACGTTGATTAGGTACGACCCTACATATTACCTAAGCTCACACGTACTTGTGTACTTGGGTAGGTACATCAGGTCTGATTTATCGTCTGATTAGTTAGTGCGTCATGTGTTGTATTTATAACCGTCAAAGCTGTTAAAGTTATCGTTGAAATGATCGGTTTGAGGAGCATGCAAATCACCGCACTTGGCCAGGAGCGGCATGCGGGCACATACTACTGCCATGGGGAGACGCGGCTTATATTTACATAATTAACTTTAATAACGTCCATACTTTATGTTTTCCAGTTCGATATTACTAGAATTACCTATGATAGCGTTTACTTTCATAACAGATAACAACTCAAATAACGTAGATAGGAAGGTAGGTAAGTAGGTAGGTGCCTATCTACTTTTTAAAAATTTTAAGTAGGTACTATCTCATTCCAGTAATTAAAATTAGGGCGCAGGTTGATGAATGGAAAAATTCAATCATTTTTCTATATTATTCGTAATTTAAGTAACTGTTTTATATAAAAAACAAAACACGAACGTACTAATGATGATATTGTGAAAACTTTTTGTCATCTCGATTAAAAGAAAATATTTTATAAAGAAAAAGTGTGGTACAAATAAACATAGATACGTCTGTGAGTGTCGCCGAACAAGGAATTTCACCTATGTCAAGTGCGCGCGCCAAACGGAATCTTATAATTATCTTTTATCTTTATTAGATATATAACATAGCTTTGCTGTAACTCAAAGGGTTAATATGTAACTAACTAAATCTATACCTTCTAAAATAAGAACGAAACAAAGTATGTAGTCAAATAATTGCAGTCTTTACTAGATATCGACTTTCATCACGTACTTATACCTATTTTGCATGTCGCGGAGAACCTAACGGGTTACCGGAGCCCCGGCTCGACATGCAGGAGAAGGAACAGGGTGGTTATTTAGTCAGTAAGAGTCTGACACTCCCTTCCGCCTCACCCACGCGATGATTTTCCCCCCTTAAAAAAAGCGGTACCGATACCTTATAGCCTATTTCAATAAGTCAGACGGGAGACAAATGTTCCTAGCACGCTGAGGCATAGGTGTGTGGTTTTTTTTTACTAATTTAATGTGAAGCGAAGTGCTAGTTTTGCCCGCTGCCACTCTGCCACCAAGCTGAAGAGTTCAATGTCAATGGTAGTTGGGTCGGTTCGCGGTCGAGCCATACCATACGGGCGCCCGGTGACGTCCACACATTGTTATTGTTTATAAAACCTTACTGACAGATAATTGCCGCTGACAAATAAATTTTGAAAAAAAAAGTAATTTTAAAAATTTTGCACGCTTAAAATTGGCTATGAGTTATAAATGTTATAATCCGTGTAGGGTGAAGCACAATGAACCCCATCAACCGAAAAATGATTAACTAGCGATTACACTGACGGATGGGCGGCGCGCGCGCACTGGCTTCTCTAACCACAGAGTTAGCAATCTAGTACAGTTTACTTTCAGCTCACGGAATGCTATGTTTTGGTTCTTAGGGAAGGAAAATGGAATCCCTATAATGAAAATTGTTCGGTACTTTGTGGTTACAAAAAAGTTGGTTCACTTATTTCCCCTTTTAAAACTAATAATTCGGTATGATTGTAAATGGCATACATCGTTTTGTGTATATACAAGCTCAATCAGTGAATTAAACTGTCAAACACCAAGCGGTCACCGGTGACCGCAACCTATTGTTCCATAATTGTGTCTACAAAACCGGTACTCGACGAGTTAAACAGTACTTCCTTTGGAAACCAATGCTAGATTCATCATACTATGACAATATATACGAATACCATATACTGTCTGTCCATCTTTCACACTATGGTTTACAGTTTCACCGGTGAGTGAGCAGAGCGTTGGATGCGCGGGCGCACGTGCCGCGACATATGGCGGCGCCATACTGTTTGTTTGCCAATCATAACGGACATATTTCATCAGATAACGGCCCACCGCCTCCGACATATTGCTTGCATCTAAAACAATGTGTAACAATTAAAATGTTGACACGTTATGGAATTAATCTCGCGAACGATTCGTCATGGCTCTCATCAGAGATGTGATCATGTGAGGGGGAATCTCAATAGATGATCGTTAGTAATGAACTAACGACAATATGCTGGTTTGGAGACGTGTACCCAATTATCATGGATAAATTGATTACTAAGGATAATTGATTGCGTGATGAAAATAGATTGAAATGATTTCGCTATATCTTTCTTTGTTTTAATACTTAGTCTAGTTTTAGTTAGTATGGATGTGGAAAAGAATAACGAGTTTCTTGCTCAGTCTTCTTCGTTCGAAACTACATTTAAGAATGATCACTTAGCTTCACTGACAATTCAATTTGACGTTATAAAAGTGCCTAATCAAGGATTAATTGAAATAAATGCTTTGACGTTCATTACCCTCTTTCTGTTTTTAAAAGCAGGACAATACAATTTAGTTTGAATTGCATAAATAATACGGAATTTTTATTTCAAGTAAAATAATAGCAAATCAGCATATAAATTTCGGCAAACATAGATCTATGAACCTCATTCAAATTTAGAATCACCGTCACTAGTCAACTAGGTAACTAAATTGCCTTTTGTAAAGAAAATCTATTGCGCTTCTGTGATCCACGTCAATATAATGCACAACCAAAATAACAAACATGTATATCTCAGCGACCCACACATTTTCGTGCCGACGTGTGTAACTCCGTAACGGTACATAAACTCGTAGTTTTAAGTGCAAACAATTATCCTAACACCAGGCTCGTCCCTTAGTTAGGGTCCCGTTCATTGAATGAGACCAATTGATATAACCTGTAATTTGAAGTTGGCACGGGCGCGGGCGCATGGCGGCCGCCATATGGCGCGTCATCGTCAGCGATTCGAGGGACGACCACCAAACCTTGCAGACGGTATTACGGAACGTAGATCTATGGTGCTAGAAATGGTCAGAATTTTGTCTTCAGTATTTTTTTTATCACAATAGTAATGGAGTAAAAATATTTAGTGTCGTTAATCAGGTGGTGGCAATTGTTAGGACCTGTTATAACAGTTTAGTGTATGACATTTCGTATTCGATTCCGCATCGCGTAATTAAGGTATATTATTTTATTTACTTTAAGTGGTACAGACATTTTTAGTCATAGTATAGGAATCTAGAACTGTACCTTTGTAGGATAAAATCGCCTTAGCCTGCAGTACTTATAGTTTATAAACCTGAAAGCTCGTAAAAAATATATTGTAATTTCAGTATTTCGAGCCAGTGACTATACTGATGCTTTTTTAAATTCTACAATAAAAAGACTCGTCACTTAGCAACACTTTTTTTTTATTTTAAGGGGGGAAATCATCGAATGACCCGCCTGGGTGAGGCGGAAAGGAGTGTCAGACTCTTACTGACTAAAAACCACCCCGTTGCTTCTCCTGCACGTCGAGCCGGAGCC